AAAAAAAAAAAATAGTATGAAACAAATTATTCTTCCAGTAACTTATTCAAAGATCTATGCGAACAATTTGGAAGATTTACAAAATTGGCTCTGTGTTTTTCCAAGACACCAAAAAATATTGACACGAAAAACATATAGTTGTATGTAAAAATATGTATAAAATTTACACAATACAGCTTTGATGTTTATATTATAATTCATTTTTATTTTATTTTTACAGATTTCAAGACTTTGATGAGTGTTCGATCTTAATTGATTTAAATGTTTAGTGAAGGACGAGATATTTTTTGGAAGTTATGATGGAAAATGCTATCACTAGGTGGAAAAAGGAGTTATAATATTTATTTATAAATTATATAATATTTTCCAGAATCTCTTCAATCCAAACTTCATAAAGATTCTCGACAGATCCATGTTGTTTTTTAAAAAATCATATTTTCAAAGCAAAAATTTTTAAAGCACATTTGCTAAATAAAAAAGCCATACAAATATTTGTAAATTGTATAAGAATCACTCCTTAACTTAACTAGAAAACTCCTTGATCAGTGTTCCCGAAATCGTTGACGAAAATTTGTATCCGCACACACACACATACATTCATTCATTAAGCTATGCCAAAATGTTCAGAAACCTTTGAAACGTGAAATATATAAAATTTTCATTTTCAATTTTTTTTGCGATTACTATAACCTGCCCTACGGGAAGTTAAAAATATCAGAAAATAAATGAATATAAATTAATATCTACAACAAATTGCAAAAATACTTTCGAAATGAAAATGATTAATATAAAAGGATAAGTAATACAGTAAATTAATATTTTGCAATAAATAGGCAAGACTATTTAAATTTTAGCCTTTGTTTACAATATGACAGCTGAAAAATCATGGATCCTACACATAATTCTAATTATAATTGTAAGTTAAATTTCCATTTATAAAGTAAATTCCTATTAGACATTATTACTTCTTATTCATAGAACCTCATTTAAAATAAGTGTAAGTTAAATTAGAATAATATATTTTACATAATATTCTGTAAACCTTAAAAATTTTGACATACCTGTAGAATAAACCGATTTAGTTGGCTCAGCTTTGTATTTTATTAATAAACACCTTGATAACAACACTGTAATATTCTCATTACTGCACTAATTGTTTTATAAGATCAACACTAATTAATTAAATATATGATAATTAAATAAAATTAATTTGTATGCATTAAAAAAACACGTGGTGCACTTTGTTGGCTCTGGGTAAGAAATGCATTGTAAAGGTATGGCCACACATGCAAGATTGGAAAGGATTGTTGTCACGAATAAATTTTTGACAGGAAAATAATTCATAAAAGAAACTAGTGGGGAGCAATTTACCTTCAGAAATTGCTGGAACTTCCCGTACCGTATTAAACATTCGAGAAATGATAATAATCAATAATTGTTTTGAATAATTTCAACTAGAAGAAGTTTGTTTTTTTTTTTTTATTTTTGACTATTTGGAAATTTTTGAAAAAATCCGGTTTTTTTTTTGAGAATTTCGAAATATTCTCAAATTATTTTAATAATTAGTTTTTTTCTTGATTTTGATGTTTTTCAAATTTTTTTGAAATTTCGTTTTTTTTTTATTATCAATTCTAAGTATTTTACGCTTTCCACTTCTATTTCTCTATTATTTACTTTAATATTTAGTTTAGTGTTCTCGGTATTTTTTCTATGTTTGAAATATATGTATTTTGTTTTATTGATGTTAATTGTTGGTTTATTTTCAGTTAGCCACTCGGTGTATATGTTCATGTCCTTGTTTATAGTATGTTCGAGTTTTTTTTTATCCTTATCTGCATATGCTATGGCAGTAGCGTCTGCATATAATATAACTTTCCTTTAATTTTGCGTCTTTAAAGTTATTGGTATATAATAGATATAATAAAGGTCCTAATACAGAACCTTGTGGGACTCCAAAGGTTATGCTACATCCTCCACTCCGTCCTTACCACCGTTTCCATGAGGAAATATTTGATAATGCTGTTTTTGTTTAATTTTGACGAAAATCGCACTTATAAATAATAATCTTATAACAAATACAAGTTTTTGTTAGATCATCTCGCCATAGGTTAACTAATATCATTAAAAACCTTTTGATTAGTAAATTAAATTATACAAATTTTACTCAAATATCCACTTCCTTTATTAAGAAAGCAAAAATAAAACAGTATTTGTAAATTTAGGTCACATATTTATATTTTTAACAACTTTTGTTTACAACATATCATTTTACAATAGTAACCTAAATTTCAAAAAAAAGCCTGAGCGCTTTTTTCTAGTTTTTTCATATGGGCTATGAAGATATATAGGATATTTATCCTTTCTCTGAAATATGTTCACAATTATGTTATGAAAATTTATATTAAATTTAAAATAAAATAATTTAATAATAAGTTAAGTAGATATATCAAGATCACAATTGTAATACCTCTTATTGTGAAATATTGCGATGATAAAAACCTGTTCTAAATGTGCTTCAACAAGCAGCTCATGATTTTTTTAAATATATGATGTATATTTACATATATGGATAATAATTTAAAAAAATACAAATTATTTAAACTGTGATAAATAGATTCTAAATTTTACTAATACATCTCTTCGCACAATGCATGATATTAAAAAAGTGTGCGATTTCACCATTTTCATAATTAAGTAATAAATATAGTTATATATCAAATCATTAACCATTGTTATCAAAACATTTTCAAACCTGGCCGGCTGATTTGTGCAAGGCTGCAGTTTCTAGACCTGGTGCTGGCTTAGCAGCAAATTCAGCAAGCAATTTTTTAATTTCTGCAATAGCTCTTCCAGGATTCAATCCCTGAAAGAAATAAAATGATAACAATAATAATAAAATTATTATTATTACTATTATTACTATGAGTAAGTACTATTTTACAAACCTTGGGGCATGTCTTGGTGCAGTTCATAATAGTGTGACAACGGAAAACACTGAAAGGATCTCTCATTTTGTCCAACCTCTGCTTGGACATTTCATCTCTAGAATCAATAATCCAGCGATAGGCTTGCATTAATACAGCTGGACCCAAATATTTATCTCCATTCCACCAGTAAGATGGACACGAAGTGGAGCAGCATGCACACAAAATACATTCATATAAACCATCTAATTTTGTGCGGTCTTCAGTGCTCTGGAGAAATTGAGCTTCACCACTTTGGGCCTCCTCTCTAGGATAGAAGAATTATTGAAATTTAAAATTATTTTTACAATTTTGCATATTTTAATGTAGAACCTACTTTCGCTGAAGCCATGGCTGAATGGATCGATATTGATTGTAGAAATTTGTCATGTCAGGAACCAAATCTTTCACAACATACATGTGGGGCAATGGATAAATTTTAACTGGTTTGCTCAGATTGTCATCAATTTTGCTAAAGAAAGTAATAAATAAATACTAATAAATTAGACAATTTCATAGAATATGATAAAATGATATAGTTAAATTTATTTTACCTGATGCAAGCCAAAGTATTACAACCACCAATATTCATGGCACATGAGCCACAAATGCCTTCCCGGCATGATCTACGGAAAGTCAGAGTTGGATCTACTTCATTTTTAATTTTGATCAAAGCATCAAGCACCATTGGACCGCACTTGTTCAAATCCACATTGTAATCCTAAAAAAATGTAATTATCAATAAAAAATATCAAGGAGAGTTTTATGTCTTGTAGATAAATGTGAGATAATTCTACCTGCATAGTTGGTTTTTGATTTGGTTTGTCTGGGTTCCATCTGTAGATCGAGAACTTTTTCATTCGAGGTGCTTTTTCTGTTTGTACATTAGCCTTAGCAGCCGGTGCTGCAGAACTTATGGCTGGCGATGAGTGAAAAATACGAAACTAAAAAGTAATTAGTAAGTGTACTACAATAAGATGGAAAGTATTCAACAATAAACAAGTCTTCAACAATTAGGTAGAAAGAATAAGAATTACATGTACAATAACAAAGATAAAAATAACATATGAGGTGTCCTAACCTAACTTCTAACAACTTATACAACTAATATATATTTGAATACAATATATTATACTTATTCATGCTCAAATAATTTATTAACAATAACCAATTATCAAAATTATTTACATATTGCACAAATTACTTAACTAAATTATTTAAAAGTTATGTAACTTAAATAACAAATTATGCACTTGCAATAATCAAAAATGTTTTACCTGCGTATAAGAATTTTTAAAGACCTTCATCATTTTAATTTCGGAGGACATTGTACACTAGTTTTACAGAATATTATTACTTTTTAAAATATAAAAATTGCCAATAAGTTCATACAAAAGTGACAGCTGTGCAGCACAGCATAGAAATACTGTCAAAGATTTTATCGATTGGCGAACATGAAAATATTTTATTAAATACTGACTTATCAAATGTATGTTGTTATAAATATATAATTAAAATAATAACACAGTAGTTGCTAAATTAAACAATCTTAGGAACAAATTCAATATTTTTTTCAGTAGCGAGTTTTTTAATAAATTTGTCTTTGTTTTATTTTTGTAATGGTATTTTTAACAAAGTTTTTGTCGTTTTATTTTTGTAAAAATTCTAAAGATATATATATTAGGCTTGCAACAAATAATATGTTTGGCAAAATGCCGAATACCGAATATTCGGCAAGCTCCAGAGACCGAATACCGAATATTCAGCATGCTCTAGAGACCGAATACCGAATATTTGGCACAATTCGGCAGGTTTTTGGCGCCAAAGCTCGTTTGTATTAATGTAATTACTATCAGTGATTGTTATATTTATTACTAATTAACATGTTTATTTAAGTTTTATGCCTAGACTTGCAATCACTATTCAGCAACTCTTTATTATTTGAAATATTTGGCATCATTTATACTATTCGGCCGAATACCGAATACTCGAATACCACATGTAATAGAGTTATAAATGATATAATCATGAAACAAGCAATTCTTTACATATATGTAAATGTATTTCTAATTATGTCTGTCATAAACATTTCATATTTTCTTTTATAAACTCAATAGTATTTCTTATATATTAGGAATGCTAATCATAACAAAATAAATAAAAATGATCCAAAATATTATTTGTATATTTTGCGGTAAAGAACCAATGATAATTCTTTTTTTGGAAATGCTTAGATTGAATATAATGAATGTTTTTATTGTATTGATACAACACATGGATGTAATCATTGAATGAATCATATTAAATAATATAAACATGAAACAATAAAGTATCGTGTGAATATTCAGAAAAAAGTTCTTCGCGTGTTCACTGATAATGTCCAAAGTTGATAAAATTTAAATTATTATATATACAATAACGAAATCATTTCTTTATGACATTATGTAAACTAAACACTTCCAAATACAGATCCATCGCATAAAATCTTCTTTCTCTTTTATCGCATAAAAGATAAAACATTAACAATGATGCCGCTGCGCGGCGGCGGCGCTTTTGATTTTAACTATTCGGTATTCGGCCGAATATAAAAAAAGGTGCCGAATATGCCGAATACCGAATAGTAACCGAATATTCGGTGCAAGCATAATATATATTCATTATTCATGGTATATACAATAACGAAATCATTTCTTCATATCATATTATATAAATTAAATACTACCAAATACAGATCCATCGCAAGCTCTTTATCGCATAAAAGATAAAACATGCCGAATAGTAACCGAATATTCGGTGCAAGCCTAATATATATCCATTATCCATGGTATTTGTAACAAAAGTTTGCAGTTTTATTTTTTTTACTTTTTTGAATATCCAGAAAAGCGTGGACACTTTGCTTTTTTAATAATATTGAATTATTCTAATTTTCATACAAACAACAAGCACTAGGCCTTATATAATTATATATACATTTATATATCCAATTAATTTGGTACTTACCTAAGTCATGCTTTCACAGAAAAAAACACTTTAGCTTTATATCTAACATTTACGCTATAAAAATTTATTACTATTAAAGACACTTGTTCAACCAAGGCTCAGCTCAGACTGTTCATTTATTTTAATATTTTTTACAAAAAAATAAACATAGAGTAAAACTTAATTTATTATAGAAAGTAAACATAGTTTTCAGTTTCAACAAAATCTTTTTCCAAGGAATCGTACAGCAACAACAGACGGCCACGAGGCGTGTTGCAAATTATCAACTATATTATTTCATCATATATACATATAAAATATCAATCATTTTCATGTAACACGTGAAAACGAGAATTTATTCTAAATATATAATTCTTAAAATAATTTTGTACATAATGTGTGAAATTTATTCATTTCATAATATAATTTACAATAAATAGTATAAAAATATTGATGTAATTGTTCAATAATTATGTTTGAGTATTTTTATTGTAAATGTACTATAAATAATTAAATCAAGATTAAATTTAAAACTACAGTTAAAAAAAGATTACAAAATATTGGTTGGAAGAGTCAAATTTGTATAGACAAATCATACTTTATCAAAACCAAACAATATTATTTAACGAGTAAAAAAATAAGATACTAAGAATATCTATACTTTAGACCAGGGCTTCTTAAACTATGGGTCGAGACCCCAAATGAGGTCGCGAGAGATTTCAATGTCAAATAATTATATCATGACATCACGTCTTGATTTTTATTATGTTGTCAACGAATTTTTGAACTATATATTATCATTTGTATATTGTTACCAAGTAAATAATCATGTAAAAATATAATTTTTTTTAATTCTGGGGTCACCAAAAATTCACAATCGTAAATGGGGTCGCGAAGGATAAAAGTTTAAGAAGCCCTGCTTTAGAGAATAGGTGATATAATAAATTTTACAACTTGCTTATTTCGTTATATTAAATCATTACAAAAAATAGTTTCTTCTAGAAACGATTGAAAATAAATGTTTCAAACATCATAACTATAGATCATTAACAGATAAATTAATTAAACAGATCTATTAATTAAATCTTACACATATAATTAAAATAACAATAATAAAATGCATCTAATTGTTATTACAAGTTACTTGTAATTCAAAGTACGCGGTTAAAAAAGTGTTCTTAAAATATTTTTATACGTGAGTATATAATCGTAAAATATATTTGAACATAATGATATATGTGTGGAATTTACCCTTAATTTTTTTTACTTGGCACTTGGCAAATAATTAAATCTAACTATCTTACCCTAACTGCCTCCACCTTCTGCACTTTTCCTATGTTGATACAGATGCACTCTTAGACAACTGTGGTTCCTCATCGGTTTTGAGCAGATATGGCAAAACACAGAATATGCAGGAGCCTGATGTTTGTCTCGTATGTGTACCCTCAAATTATATTTATTAGCAAACATCCTGTCACAGATATGGCACTTGACCAGTAATTTTCCTTTCCAATCAGGATACAAATCTGGGAAAGAAAGAAGATGAATTAGTAAAATTTTAAAAAAATAGTAGAAAGTAATTTTATATGCACACACACATACACACACACATATATATATATATATATGTGTGTATGTGTATGTATATATAGTTCAAGTTTTTCTGACAAATTTATTAAATAAACACTTGAAAGTTGAAGGAATTGTACGATGCTTTTAATGTCTATACTTGAATTTATTTTTCATGGAATCCTTTTTATAAAAATTAGTTATTATCTGTGTGTAAAATTGTGTCTAATGCATGTTTTATTAATATGAATGTGCTTCATTAAGCATTTCAGTCATATTTTATTTTCTTGTTACAATATAAAATTACTTTTAGATCAACCCAACACCAGATCACATAATATATTTCCCATCTGCTTATTTTCTAGTAACAAATTTAATTGAAATATAATTTTAACCAAAAACTTACCCATTAAATTTTGAAGCAAACAAGTCATCATCTAAATAAAAATACTTGAATGTTTTTTTTAAATCTTTATTTCATCTAAGTAAAATATTTTATACATCGAAATAAAACTAGAAAAATATTCTTAGGCTTGACCAGTTTAATTTTTTTAAATATAAAATGTGATGCTATCTATTTATTCAAATTGCACCAATGACTAAAATAAAAAAAAACAAGTTAGGAGGCAAATTGTCCATGATGCGCAGGCTTTTCGTTCAGCAAAGAGCCATCTCGCCTTCTGAAAACCAGGATCAGTAGTAATTATTTACAAGGATAATAATAAATGGAATATTTTAATTAATAATATTATAAAGTATTTGATACAACATGTACAAAGAAATATAAAAATATATTATCCAGACGTTTCGATAATTAAAACTCTGATAATTTTTTGAAGCTAGGAACAAATTAACAAGCCAAGATGTTAAAAAATGAATTAAAGAGGTATTCTAGTGTAGAGGCATGAATTTTAGGTCATTTTTAAATCATCGTGAAAAAAATGCAATTATTTTTTTATTATCACTTTTCTTAAAAAATCATTTATCAACTTTACGAGAGTACAGAAATAAACTGAAATGCAATTCTTCTAAGTAATCAAAAAAAATGTTATCAATCTATCTCGCCATGATATATACTAAGATTATGCTAAAAAAAATTTAGGCGACTGTTTGAAAGAAAAGACCATTTTCTTGACACTTTTTAAATTTTTGGACTTTTTTAAAAATAGTAAAAATTGAAATTTGGGGATAAGGCTAGTATAAAGAAGCCAAAGTAAAGTCTATAAAGAAGATTCTCTTAAAATTTCAAGTGAATTGACCCAGTAAAACTCGAAAAATCCAGGACATCTCATTGAAAAAGACAGTTTTGAGAAAAAACGCCATTAATGTTTCGCAAGAGAAAAGAAACATAAGTTGATTTTTATGGTTCAATAGATGTATCTCCAAAAATAATTGAAATTCTAAAAAATCCTCTTGTGCATGTAATCTTGAAGACTTTTTGAAGTTTAATTTATTTAAACGTCTTTCAAAAATTCATAAAATTTCTCATTATTTATTTTTAACTATTTTTATTATTTTTAACTATTTTTTATATTTTATTTTTTCGGCAGTTGTAAAACGATTCATGATTAAAAATAAAAAATTGGTAATAAATATTAAAACATTTACTTAATTAATAAAAACCAATTTCACTAATTCCTTATTAACAAAGCAAATGGTTCTAACATGAATTTTATAATTTTTAATTTGAATTAATAAATACATTACAGAATTGAAATTATTAAAAATAAAAAAAATAAATATTCTTCCAACATTTTAAATTTGTATTACTAAATCCTTTTGCTAATTTCTAATAAGACTGATTGACGCATTCTAATAAGATTGATTGACTAACAATACTTTTATTTGCGATATTGAATTTAAAGAGATCCAACAATAATTATTAATTTTAGTAAAAAATATATTTGTTAAACATACCAAAAAACATTCAAGTAATAAATTATATTAGAAGTAGTTGGTAGTGAATAAATGATACTAGTCGATAGTATGTTCAAAAATTCAAAATAAATATAAATTATTTATTCCAATTTTATTATTATATTGCATTATCATTTATTTGGTTATATTATCAGGCATTCTTCATCTCAAAAAATTATTTATGTATTGATCAAAAAAAATTTTTTTGATGTTTGAAATTGTTTTTCTCTTATGTTTATTTATCATCAGTGTGTATTGTTAATTGTGTTTGTTAAAGTTATGAAATAAAGAATTGCTAACATCTACACGGCAATAAGATACTGATATATATATATATATATATATATATATATATTAAAAAATCAATCTTTCCCACTGACCTTCTATGTATGACGTACATATGCGAGAACAAGGTGTTCTTATTCTTCATAGGCCTCTGGCAGAATTCGCAATTGAATGGTCCTCGGTCCTTACCATGCTGGTTGTCCATGTGTTTCCTGAAGCTGTCCTCGAGTTTAAAAACTCGGCCGCAGTTCGGCGCTGGACAAGCGAATGTCCTGCCCATTGCCACCATATCTGTTCGTTAGAATATGATCGGTCTGTAAAACTCATCCGAATAGCAAAAAGATTGAAGAAGGAACAAAATTGGGAAATGATGATGGTAAAAGTAGAAGGTTAAACCAGATGGTATTTGTTAATTATTGATTCGTGGATTTGGTGGTTGTCTTCATGCTTAAGTTAGTTGGTTACCAACATGCTTTTTCGTGTTAAAGTTGACTATCAAACGCATAAGAAAAATTCTTTTATTTTTGGCGAATGTCCTGAACAAGTATGGTCACAAATTAAGTACTTCGCACACTTTTTTTATCAAAAACTGCTGAACCGATTCCAGAACCCATATCGAGACAAAACTCGATAAGAACTCGCATTGATTTTATTCGATCGACTATCAGCCAAGTTGTTTCTTCATAATTTGCAGATAAGTGCAAAAGTTTTTGAAAACGTCTACGTTAAAATTCCTGAACCGACCTTGAAAATTTCAAAATTATTCGTTTAGTAAAGGTAATCGTGCTGGATTTTTTTAACCCAATGATAGAAAAGTTCTACCAAAATAGTGGTAGGAGTTTTATGCTATAAAATCAATTGTTGCGGCATTAATGATTTGAAAGTATACAAATTTGTTGAAAAGCAAAATTAAAAAAAAAATACAAAAAATACAATAAATAAAAAACAAACAAAAAATGGACGCGACTTTTTGAAAACTTCCATTATAAAGGAGTTCCACCAAAATAGTGTTTGAAACCGTTTTGTTGGAAAAAATTAAAAAAATTACATGAAATACAATAAATAAAAAAACAAAACCAGGACTTTTTAAAAACTTAAGGGGGTCTTCCTATGTGACGGCCTGTTTTTTAGGGATATTTTAGAATTTTTTTTCTACGACCAGTAAATAGTTAGAGCTTCAAGTTTTTTATCATTTATTAATACATATTTGGACAGTATAAATATAAAATTTCAGCTAAAAAAATTTAGTCCAACTAGAGTTACAGCGCTCTAAACACCCCCGCCTCAAAAAAAAGAGCTCCCACTGTCTCCACGATTCCGGCTGATCGGCTTATCTGACTAAAAAAAAATAAACGTAGTTTTAATTTGTAGGCTTAAAAGCACGGAATGATCTACAATCAAATGAATACAAAAAAAATTGGATGTTTTATAGACATTTGAAATAAAAGTTGCAAATTAGGCGTTTTTTTTTTTAGTTTTTTTGCTATAAAAAATCGAAGTTTTAAAATTTTTGATTGATAATAGGTCATTCCATGCGTTTAAATATATTGAATGTGCCCTGTAAATTTCAAGTAATTCGGTCCAGCCGTTTCTGAGATACAATGGAGACAAGTTTGAAAAACACAGTTTTGAGAAAAACGCGTTTAAAGATAAAATGATCGTTGTACTATATACTATATGTATACTTTTTAAATGACTGTAACTCAAAAACTATTTGAGATATCGATTTGAAATTTTAATATGTTATTTTTAAAGGTATAATCTACTGAAATATGAAATAAAAAAAAATTCAATTTTTTCAACTCATCACATAGGAAGACCCCCTTAATTGATAGAGGGAGTTCTACCAAACTAGTGTTTGGAGCCCTTCTGTTGCTCTCAAATCAATTATTGCATCAACAATGATTTGGAAGTAAACAAAAATGCTGGAAAGCCTAAATTTGTACAAACGTGTCAATTACCGATTTAAAATTTAAAAGCATTAATTAATTTTTCACGGTCGAAGTATGAATTCAAATTAAAATAGTACAATATATTAATAATCATGCGCTAATTTTATCATTGATATTTAAATAAACAATCATAAAAATATCAATATAAATAATATTTTATTGTATTTTACAAAATACATATGTTTTGGATACAGTTTTCACTAAGCGTATTTTTAATTATATATGGCGTTATTTATCAGACTATAAGTTTAAACAATTGAAAAATACATTTTTTATATCTTAGGATATAAAAATCAGCTTTATATATATATATATATATATATATATATATATGAATATATATAGAAATATATATATATATATATATATAAATATATATAGAAATATATATATATATATATATCTACTATTATTATCAAAAAATACAATATGACATGAGAATACAATTCAATAATATTAAGCAAACACATATACTAAGAGAAAAATTAAATTAAAGTCAACATTTCATATTCAAAATCAAAATACTTAAAGCTAATATCTAATAATTTTAAAAATATCGTAAGACCAGATTCCATCGTGTTTTTTTTTTCAAAAATATACAAACTAATGACTAAGCAAGAAACGTGTAAAATTAAATATATAATCTATTAGTCTTCTTTAATTACAACTTATTGTCATGATATTTTAGAATAATACTATGTTTAATCCTTTCAAATTTAGTCATCAACTAAAAAAATACTTATTTATACTTATAATCTATAACAGAAAATTGTGGCTTTTAAATAATAAAATATACTGTCCAATGGTAATTAAAATAAAAATTTTTTTTAGTTTGGGTTTATGCTAATTAGTGAATTTAATGAAGAAGTGTCTTATATATAATTTTCTTTGGCAAAGGCCTTGAATAATGCCCAAAAATAGTTTGGTTTCTTTCAAAAGATAAAAATATATATAATATATTTATTAATAATATATAATATTTTATCCCATACCTATATATTTCGTTGTTTAAATAGAAATGTAAAAACTTCCAATATCAACAAAATTGAGATTTTTTAATTGTGCATCTAGAAATTGGCAGATGCGATTTAGTTATCTAAACAAGTTTAAAATCATGTAAAGTTTTGATGGTAGCTACTAAATTTCAGCACAAATGTTATTAATTGTAAAAATTAATTTAAATAAATTTCATAATTTTAATTTATATCCAATATTGCTCGCGCTGTCTGTTGCATATAATATGAAAATGATTCAAGCTTATTGAATCATTTATATCGAATATATAGACTTATTTCACCAATAAGATTAGCAATAAATTCAGTATGAAAATCAAGATAATTTTCATGAGCTGCCGCGGTAAGAATCAAGTATTTGTGAAAACAATCTTTCAAATTTCGCAATCATCAAGTTTTAATGACCAATATTTCCAGTAATTCCTGTTCCTCTACATTCCAGATGTGGATGTAGATGGATTGGTGGCAGCGGTGGAAGTATTATTCGATCCATTCTTTCCTTTCCTATGTGCCATATAAATATGCACCCTTAACGTATTACTATTTTTATAAACATTTCCGCAAATATCGCATCTTTTAGGTTCCACATTATTGTATCGATGAACATTAAGATCGTGCTCCATGTAGAGATGAGAGACCAACCTTCCTTTCATGATGTAGGTCTTGGGACAAATCGGACAATAGAATTCTTTCGAATATGTGTCATCCAAACAATTCTTGATGGCTTGTTTGAGATGCTCCGCGAGCTTCAGGTCCAGACCTTGCTGGTCATTCGGTCTTGTGCCAACTTGACATACATAAAAAGATAAAGTTTTGTCAAGATCTTTTTGTTTGATTTTATTGTATCAATTGGAAAAGGAAAGATATTTAATTTACACATTCTCATCTATACACATTTGTTCAACTGTATACTGCATTCTTTTGACAATTTAAATAATATTCTGCATAATATCGCTATGTCTAGTATGCAGTCTATAAAAAGTGGCCTAAATATAAAAACTTATTAAAGTTTGGAATAACAGACATTACGAAGTATTCCCGAAATATTTATAACACTGAAGTTATATTTATCGAATATAACTAACGTGTTCGAAAAAATTGTTCTAAATTGAATAATCTGCAATAGTTTATAACATGATATAATATTAATGAAATATTTCTAATACTATTTATACATATCGAGATGAATTTGCCAAGACTAAACGCCACTTACACTTTTTTCAGAGTTTTTTTTAAAAGTTTTTCAAAGTATCGCAAAGCTAAAATAGTATTGTAACTCACTGCATTTACAATATGATGTCAACTAAAAGTATTATTTAAATATTGAATAAAAGAATTTGTTCATTTTCCAAGTTTATTCAAAAATATACGTTATTTATAATTCAACATTTGGCACCGCGATACAAAAATATCGACTTACATTTATCAAAGACCATTATTCTTTGGTTTAAACAATTTGGTATGTTTTACAAAAATATTCAATACTGGTTATACAAAATATTTTTAGTCTTTAATATAATTAGGCGTGTATTTTTGGTGTAAAATAAGAGACCATTTAATTATCTAACAAATATTTGGTATAGATATTAATCTAGAAATTAATAGAATAAATAGTAAAAGCACTTATACTTAATCTTATTTGCTATGATTCTAAATTTGTAAAATTCAAAATGCCTTTTTAGGACAAAAATTAATTAAACAAACGCAAGACAATAATTAAAACATTATATTTTTAACTAACGTGATAAAATTCTGCCTTTTGACGCGTTTCGATTAATTTTATTAACTAATATTTATAACAAACGAATAAATATAGATACATTCTATACTTAAAGAAACTTATTCTACAAAAAATGACAAACCAATTTGGTACTAGATTTTCAATAAAATATTTGTTTTAATTTTCATGAAAAAATTGTAATATAAATAATAAAAAAAATAATACTTTATGAAAGGTTATACATTCAAAATCAAACTTCTAACGTGTTAATTCTATTTAATAAAATAATTTTAGGTTCCCTAAAATAGTAACAAATATAAATTCCCTAAAATATGAAGTAAAAAATATTTAGTGCGAAGTAAATAAAATAAATCAATGCAATTGATCGTCATAAGTTAAAGTGAATAATAAGAAATAAAAAATATAAAGAAAAAAAATCACTCCTTATATTTAACTAAAATGATGTAGTGCAAGAAAATCATTCTATTTAAAATTATCACCACAAAAACTTCTTATACATATTCTGCGACAAGCATTACTTTGGAAATACGGTCAAATATGATCATTAAAGTCAAAAACCCCAAATTGATACAATCTTAATCAAGCGACAGAAGTTTGAGACCACGCATTTAAAATTTTAAGGCACATCAGGAAAATACTGTAACTATCAGAATACTTGAATTCAATTGAGTTTAAACTGACGTCTTTGGTTATTATCATAATCCAACTTTTTGTCCAGACAGTTTCATCAATCTTAATATTTCCCATATTACTGTCAGATCACAGTTCAATCATTCTAAAATCCTTTTCAACCGGCCAGCCAGTAGTCGTTCCAATCAAGAACTAAGATCATCAACAACGCAAATTGGAGGCAAATTTATGTCCATCAATGAAATATCAGCCACCAATTCGTTTTTAACTTGTCTCGAAGCAGGCCCATGATATTTGGCCATGTGTTTCCTCATGCTTTCATTGTTCTTATAAAATTTCTTGCATGTTACACAAACCAAAGGTTTATTTTCTCCATGGATATTTGCCTCATGCGTCCTAAGATGATCACGTCTTGTAAACTGCTTAAAGCATTTGTTGCATTCGAAACGATATGGGGACGGAATAGAAGTTTTTCCTCCAGTTTTTCCCACTTTGTTGTAGGCGGTCGAGAACACGTCCAGACATCCTGCCAGGGCAATAATATAAATGTCATTTTTTTGGTTTTGAAGATTGGTGTATGCGATTTAACAAGTATGATGATGATTGATATTTAGGTATCGGGTTATTTATTTATAGATTTTCTATGAACTGAGCTCAGCATTCACAGTTAAGATATTAAAATTATATAATGTGTAAACTATTCAAATATTCAAAAATTCAGATGATATGTGTTAGACAAGAAATATTTTTTGGTGCAAATTAGAGTCGTTTTTTTGTTATATAATCTGCAGATAATAGTATTCCAACAAATTATACTGTTTCATTAAAATGTTTACACAAATGGATGTGATTGCTAATAGATATCTTTAAAATTATAACAATCGCTCATTTTTGATTGTAAACGATTAAAAATCACAGAAGAGAAAAGATTATATTCAAATAGTAGAATAAAACCACAATGAAAGCAAATATAGTCTAGAAACGATAGAGACAACAAGACTACTTTTTTGATTAAAAAAAAAAAAACGATTAAAATATTAACTCAATGGACACATTAAATCATAAATGATTTAATTTTAAATTAAAAAAGTGTAAAAATATAAAAAAATACTTTTTCATTGATGTAGAAACCAATAAAAATAAAAATAAAAAATTGCATTAAATATAAGACTTTTTTTTACCTAACGACAAAACAAAAAAGGCCTTTCAAATAATTTGCCTGTTTTCAACGTCATCAATTTCAAAATTATATATAGGTGGTACTCAAATACAATTTACAAAAGAAGAAAAAGAAACTTGAAGTGCAATTTACAAAGCTAGTTGCTATTGCTTTAATAAGTGCAACTAATTAATAAAACTGTTTATTATACTTCTAAAATATATTCTATAAATTTATGTAAACATATATAAAAATAAGATATACTTTATTACACATTGTTTTGTCACAGTATTGTGGCATATAACTAATATTTATACTTTACGTATATTAATTTTAATCTAGTGACTTAAAAGTTTACAGTTAAACAAATGACTATATTCTTAATAATGCATTAATATTTGGGAAAATAAGTTTGGATATATCATTTGGTATTAAATATACTATAGTAAATAAAAATAGCCATTACTACCATTTTATAAAAGAAATTCATTTTGGAAGCATAATGATTAACTAATTAATTGTTATGTTCATTTTTATATCATAAATTTAAGTTTATTGTAAATTTTTTATGAAAATGTAATAGCAACATGATCACTAGTTTTAGAAACAATCTTAAAACTATTCTTAAAATGTTATTTTAAGGAATGCAATAAAATCACAATCGTTTGCACATATTAGTGTCAAGGCATTTTCAAGGCAAAAAGTAAAAATAATTCTATAATAAATCCCTATAACAGGTAATAGAATCTACAGTCATTCCAATAAATCTGGCACTTTTAAATTTGCTACCATATCTTGAGCTCTACTTTTCCTTTCCCGAGCTTCAAGTTCCCTATGTTTCCCTGCGATATGGGTTCTTAAACTATTTTTTCCTTTGAAAACTTTATCACAATATTTGCAAGTAACATTTTTTGCAGGCATATGTCTATCAATCATGTGTCTTCTGTAGCTTGTCTTGCGCATGGAACGACCACAGAGTAAACAAGTAACTGAAAAAACAATTTGATAAAAAATAATTGCAGAAATGCTGCATGCATTAAATAAATATAAACTATATAGCATAAATAAAATAATAAAACATTCATAATTCAGCAATTGTTTACTAATAATTCACTCAGAAATCAGCTCTGAATAATTAAATGATTAACAAATAAATATTTTCAAAGCGTGCTTGAGATTTTCAAATTAGAAAACAAATAAAAAAGCTTACAATAAATATGATAACATAGAACTAAATAATGGTTAGTGCAAACGTAATATAATATATATTATTAAAAACATCAAATTATACTTACCAAATGATTTCCAAGAACAATCACAAAATGTACACTGATATGAAAATTATAAATGCAACACAAAAATGCAAGTAATTGCACATACACAAAAGCAAATTATAACTTATATAATTAAAACTTACAAAGCATATTCACAAACAAGACTAGCCAATAAATTATAAAATAAAATTATGACTGTACTTACCTATTATATATTAAATTATTCGGGATAATCACGTTTGACACTAACCACTATTATAAACTCACTGATTAATCAACATTTTATTGATAAAAATCCGCGCACTTTGAAATATTTATTCATCCTATGCAAAACTTATTGAAAAAACACAAAAATTGTATATACTGAGTCGTATGAGAAATGTAAATAATTTTATGAATTTTCATTAATGAATAATTCAAATCAATCATTTATGTATGTTAAAAATACACTTCTTAAAGATATATTGCTATTATATATATAATATAAATATTTACATACACATCATGAAATAAAATTATTCTACATGTTATGCATACACATTTTTCATTACCATCGACACAAATATATTTATATGCTGCAAGAATTTCACCAAACTAAAGAGTAAGATTTTTGAATAAGAGTAAATCTATATATTCAACTCTGTTAGCAAAATAAACAATTTCAATTAGATTTAATATCGGACATTTAATATGTTAAGAGTTCACACCTTTATAAATCCACAATTGCAGTCATGATTTTTTTTTTTAAATGATGTTATGATGGTTTATTATGAACTAAATTAAAAATTTCATAAAATATGGAATTTTTGAAAACATGGTGAGCAGAATCCAGGTTGATGTTCACAATCAAAACAGTAACTTGTGACACGTCTGGAATTGTGATGTGCATCTTTGTACGTTAGTGTCTTTCGTAGATCAGTATAACAACCCAAACACATTCGAATTTTCTTTCTACCTCTGCCCTCAGGTTTGATAAATTTGTGTCCGATTACATTATTTCTTGCAAAATGTGTTAGCCCTGCCAATGTATTTTTAACAAGAATGAGGATCAAGAAAATCTCTTGTTGTAAACATTTAACAATGATAATTTTAGAATAAAATTTCAACTACAACAAATAATAGATAAAAAGCAATTCAGCAAACGTCTATTTAACTAACCAATTAAATGCTACAAATCTTGAATATTTTGTAAATAGTGAGAAAACGATTCTGAGAAAATAATTATGAATTTAAAATGTAAACATTAATAATTGTAATAGACCTATCATATTAATCCTCATTTAGTGATATGGCAAACCAACACAACTCCAATCATCGAAAATTTAAACATTTACCATATAATTGAAAAGTGCCACATGGATAGAGAAAATTGCATATTTGATCTAACTTGCTTGTTTTAAAAGTTAATAAATACGTAAAGACCTCTTTGCAGCCCTATCTTTACAAAAAAGATAATTTGTCCCTAAGCTTTCAATATTCTAAACACAAGTGTATGCATAACATAGTAGCAAAACAATATTAAATAAATAGAAAGGCTAAAAATATTTACCGTGATCTAGTAGTTGACTGGAATCTTGAAGAACAGATGATGCCAAAGGTGACATACCCGATGAACTCATATTCATATCTTTCTGCGCACTTTCCATAATTTGTGTAAAATCTCCCATGCTAGATGACTCATAATCCTCACTGAAAAATAATAAATTAAATAAAAACAATGCCAAAAAATATAATTAATTGAAATATTATTATTTGTATTTAACAATTACTTACTCCATAAAATTAGGTTCAGTCTTTGGTATGAAGGTCATATCAGTAGGTTCAACAAGTGCATTTTCTTCAGGTTTGTTTGCTACTTTAAGTCTTTTCGTTTCAGAATTAGCTGGTGGAGAAACCACCGGTCTCTTTGGTGCATCATTTTGTAAATTTGATGAACTATTTATAGTTGAAGTGTCATTTTTTTGTTTATCTTGATACATGTATTGTGTTAATGATTCTGATGTATTGTCTTTTTCATTTGTTGCATCTGGTTTTGGATTATCATTCTAGAAAAGCCAAAAGGTAAATGAAAATGAAATTGAGGTATAATTGATGATATTTTATCTCAGTGCAAAAAGTATAAACTCACCGACGATTCATCTTCTGTGAGACCCTTAATTTGCAATAACTCTGCAGTTTTTAGAAAATTTGCTAAATTTTCTTGTCGTACGTTAACTTCCCCTTGGTACATGAACAATAAAATATCGGACATATCACTATAAGCTACCCCTTTTAGTATTATTATAGGATGCTTATCAGGATGAATCTACAAAAAGTAATATATAAAGTAATAAGCACCATGAAATTTTAAAAATAGAATTTTGTGTAAGTATAAAGCAAACCTTGAACATTTGTTTGAAATAAGGACTGCATACTGACAAAACTAATTTATGTGCTTGTAGAAATTTTCCTTCCACAGCAAATGTTACATCAACTAAATCTTCTCCACGTAAAAGGGCATGAAATCCACTAGTCAGGTTAGAGTGAAAATTATTCCATTTTAATGAGAATTGTTCGGCGTCCATTTTTATTCACAAACCTTCAGAGGAAAAAATTAAATACAAAATGAATATTTTTGTAATTGAATAATATGTGTTATGTGAAATTCCTATTGTTATTAATAAATTTTATACGATATAAAAAAGTATATACCTATATCTGAGTTACAAATAAAATTAATGCACTGACGTAGCGTTTTGTAATACTCAATTACAAAATAAACGTATACACTTCTTATTTTAGTTAAAACACTAATACGAAAAGCACTTATCTCGCATGTTAAACTGTATTCTGTATTAAATCATCACAAATCACAATAATTTTGAAATAATGATTGTCTATTTATAAATAAAACTAATTTTCTACCATGATGCTAAAAACACATTACGTTTTTGTGATAGTAAATACCAACCTTGCAGTACTAACAAAATTATGAACTTGTTCCAACAGACAAAAAGACCGAATGACCAAAAGAGCTAATTTTATATTTTTTAGATTATTTAAAGTAAAGACTTTTATTTAAATCATAGTAATTACATTTATGTCATATTTAGTTACTGAAAATTTAATTACTTCTAGATTAATCTAAAAATCGAAATGTTATTAAGTTTGCAAACAACTTCATGTCTCAAAATGTCGCCCCTCACATGACAAAGGGTGCCAATAGTATACAGGAGACCCTAGACAATATAATAATGCAGTATAATAATGCAGGAGACTGATTAATGTTTTTATTTAAATTCAGAATTTGAATTTACATTTTATTTAATGTGATTAAGTTATAAATAAAACAAGAACAATAAGTAACTAATTTACGAAATTGATCATTCAGTTAGTGGCTGTGCCTGAAAACAATAGGACTTGCTTTAAATATTTAATTAATTGGAAAACACCTACATGTCAAATCGTAAGAACAGTCAAAATTATTTATACTCACATATAATGAAGAATTAGACATATCTCATTGTTTTATACCAATATTGACTTACTATTTCAATAATGTTCATGAAAATGAGACGAAGAAGCAACATCATTCCTCGTACTACAAGTGATTTAGTAGCTACATCATTCCTAGCAATTATGATACCCATTATATATTATTTTGAATTGTGGGTAGTTTTACCATCAGTGCATAATCCTGGAACACTTATGCATGGTATACATTTTGCTCTTGGATCATTTTTATTGTACAATGTAACAAGCAATTTTTTGGCAGTAATTCTATGCGATACTAGTCTCAAAGGAGTAATTCTATCTCCTGATGATAGCAAATCTCGAAGATTTTGTGCATCTTGTGAGTGCTTTGCACCACCCAGATCTTGGCACTGTAACATTTGTAAAACTTGTATTCTTAAAAGGGACCATCACTGCGTATTCACAGGCTGCTGTATAGGACATAGGAATCACAGATTCTTTTTTTATTTGGTATTGTACATGTTCATTGCAACATCTTATGCGACATATTACAACACCTTTTTTGTATTAGAACGAGTAAGCTTTAGAAGCTGGTGGGATATCTCAAAAATTATATTTCCATTTGCAATGCTCGCAGTATATCCTTCTGCAGAGCAAATATATTTAGCATTATTTCAATTAACAATAATTGGGCTGGCCTTGACTGCAATCTTATTTGCATACCATTTCAATCTTCTGAAGAATGGAACAGTCGTGTATGAAAGAAAAAGCAGACTGTATGACTTTGGATTTAAACAGAATTTGCACACCGTTTTTGGTGAACGGTGGTATTTGACATGGATCTCTCCAACTATTGAAAGTTATTTACCTCATGACGGTATTCATTGGGATGTAAAAAGTACTAATAAAGGAAAATAAGACAAATTTTGAAAATATATTTAATTAAACTTATGCATGCAGGGTATTACATACAATTGAGTATCAGGGAAACTTTGTTAAAATATACATTTTTCTTACATATTAAGACTATATATCAAATTATTATTAAAATTATATTTTTATATTTATTTACAAATTTTTATTGAAACTTAGAGACAGGGAATAACCACTTCAGTATATGTTGCTCAAAAAGTAACATCTTATATATTGGTAAAAGAAATTGTAACTAAATTAAAGATTTGTGATAGGTCAAACTTAATACAATTGTGGACTATTAATATTTATGTATAAATTCTCTTCAAAATATTTCATTATAAAGTATTTTTATAATACATAAACTTAAAGTTTATATTTTATATTGCAAATGTTTTATGAAATATTGCCTAATCGTAACTAATGTCACATTAATAAATGTAAAAATTATTCTTATATATCGATATAATGAGACAAATGCATCTAAAATGATGGTCATATGAATTATCTTATAATTAATGAAATAAGAAGGCTAAGAATATTTATGCATTTGTGGAAATGAACTTAGCAGACTAGTCAAATGAATGTACAATATTAGTTTTTAATTAGATTTTGCATTTATATAAATGAATTTATAGTTTTTAAGATATATTTTGTATTTACTGAGGTTTTGTAAATTCAAATAAATGTGCATATATATAATTATAAAATTGCAGTATGAATTATATATTTTTCCAGTGATCAATTTTTTTAAATTAGCTTAAGATTAATTACCAAGTTAAGCAAAGTACTCGCGATGAACTGTATAATTTACTTTACTTCATCAATTATATCTTCACCTACTGGAATTAAAAAACAGCTTCTTCCTCACTATTTGAAGGAGGTGCTGTCATCATTCTTGGTCCGGATTGAAAACTTCTTCTTGGTTGCAAAATCATCAGTTCTCTGAGTAACATTGCTTTTTCTCGTTCCAAACTTGTAACAGCTGCACTTTTTCTGCTCACTTCTTCTGTGAGTTGCCTATTTTGTCGTTTCAGCCTTTCCAAAAGTAGTTTTTGTTGTTCTTGTGCTCGCGGTGACTACAATTGTGATAATTTAATATTAGAAAACTAATTGGCAAATATATAATATAGTAAAAATTACCATTTCAATCTGTGATTTCGTCAATTCTAAGTCCATGTGCAGTGGAACTGCTCCTCTTTCCCAAGTTTTAACTAAAGCTTCTAAATGCCGATTTGCTTCCATCACACGAGCCTGCTGCATCTCCAATCGTTCCTGATGCGATTCACTCCATTGTTCCTGATAAAATAAAATAATCAGGTTTTCTAAACATTTGCCTTAAAATTAGTTCGGCAAGATATAGTTTCCTGAATTACCACTCTAGCTCCTGCCCTCCCCAACCAGCGCATTCCATCCTGGACAGCAGCCACTCTTTCCCTATACCATTCTCTGGCTGCATCGACGGCTTCCAGGCCCCTCAAGAGCAAAGAACGTTCCTGCTCCAATTGCTTAAGGCGTCTTAAGGCAGCATGGTCGATTCCGCTCTGCAAAGTGTGACGACGTGGTTCTCTTCGTTTCCTACCACCTTCTTGGGTATTTTTTATGAAATAGCCAGCAGTGGTGGATGTCTGCAAAAAAGAAACTTGATAAAAAATTTATTATTATTAGCCACATTGGATTGGGCTTTAGAAATAATAGAGTGAAGATAATGATGGTGGTTAAAGGATAACCATGAAAGTCTTTGTTTTAAATCCCTTTCAGACTGTTTTGCTATTAATCATCGTATATTATCTCTGGTGATTATTCTCATTTATACAATATTGCAACTTAAAAATTTTGATTCCACAAACATGTTTACCTTACTTTTTCGAGTCAACAAATACATATGGTCGCGACAACAAAACATTAATAACAATCCTAAAATAAGAAAAAACAATTTACTGGCGTCTCAGACATCTGTAGATATGTAAATTTAAGAACCGGATACAAAATGACCTTGTTGCATTTATTATGACATCAAGAGACGAACGGTTCCAGGTTTTAGGTCAACGTTTTCTTGTAGGTTTGATATGGTGAGAGATAAATGGCTTAATTTGTCTTTTCTATATATAAAATTATTTACCAAAATTGAATAAGTAAGAACTAACCTGTTGATCTGTTTGTCCATCACCAAGACCTCTATTTCTCAATGGATCTTTACTAGCTATTATATCATCACTGGCAAAACCAAAATTATTTTGGTTGTTTGCAGTTACTAATAAACCTTTATGCCAATTGTGTAAAGCGTTGCGTATACCTAGAAAAATAAATAAAAATATAAAATTTTAGCCAATTATGGACAAATAAATGCAACTCGCCTACAGTAAATAAATTTAGCTTTTGTATATACAAATATTTCCACGTCAAATTTTTCCTAACAGTAAGAGAGATCTACTTCACTACCAAAAAGATATACTTGACGTCCAACCTATTAAAATAACAATATTGTACTTTTGTTACTTTATTATAATTTATTAAAACTCTCCTTCGATAATTCAGGTTGTTGGGTTATAATTTAACCCTTGTAGCTGTGGACTGTATTAAACACTGAATGTATTTGTTTCAGTTCTAATTACAATCAATGATTTGTTACTAAGTTATAATTAAAGAAGATATATTTATTTTTATTGGTTATTTACATGTTGTTTCGCGGACTTTACTTTTTGAAGTGAACAACTAGTTTAATTAAAACACTCTGCTACCCCTTCTACCAGGGGTAGCAACCATTCCGTGTAAAGCTTAATGCCCTGAAGTTTGTCACCTTCATGGCCAATCTAATAAAACGAAAAGACGTCCGAACAATATACTATCCCCTCTACCTGCTTTATCCAGTTTCTGCGAATCCTTCTCCGGCCTGATAGGTTGCACTTTCGTCTGGACAACTGCACCAGGTCTGTTATGGATTTGCAATTGAGGTAAACTCAGTGCCCTGTGCTGGGCAATGGTGTTTGGTGTTTCCAAAGGTCGAACCATGACGGAAGTAGTCGGGTTTTTCAAAGCGGATGCGGAGTGGTGAGACTGCATACCGCGCCATTGAGATTTGCTGTTGGATTTGTTTATTTTCGAATGATAATGAACTAGGTAGAAACCAGAAATACTTAAACAACTTAAAGCATGTTATAGTTAAATAAAAGTTAAGACCACCGGTTGAAGATGCAAATGGTGATGCATAAAATCAGCGGATTAACTAAGGAGATAAATAGTACAGAAAAATATGAAGAGCGATTAACTTAAGAAGATTTTTAGAATCAGGGAAGTTTGTCTAAAGAGTCCAAAGTATCATAAATCTAAGATACCCTAAAACTTCATCTATTTTAATAAAATTTTATTACGTGTTTTTTTTTCTCAAAGTTTTCCTATTAAAATAAGATGTATGATAAATCTCTTTAAATGTTAATTTTTATGATATCACAAATTTTGTTATTACGATTTTGCTCTATAAAAGTGTAAGAATTTTTGCA